GAACAAACATTTAAGAATTCTCTGTTGTCGGAGTTCATTCGAACCCAAATACCATGTAAAGTAGCCAGGAGATAATATAAAAGTAAGACAACGTTTATTAAATACTTTTCAGTCCCTTCTCTATATTTTTTCTAATGGCTTCCCCCCCAATTTGTTATTTTTTTAAAGCTCATGCACATGAGCATATAACTTGTCTGTGTAACTATGAATATAAATGAAAAGGAATAAAGTAAAAGTGAAAAATAACACTGCCTGAAATACTGATGAACTTTAAGTAGTTGAATTTTTTTTTTAAAGTAAACTCTAAGTCATCCTGTAGGGCCTACTTTCCCACTTTTTAATAGCTTTCTAAAAAAACTCGAACCTTAAAGTGCGTGCAATTAGAAACATACAACAGTGAGGCTAGGCTTAGTCACAGTCCTATTTCAATGCAAGCTGCTCCTATTTTCGGTGTCCTCCAAAGAAATAGGATTAGAATGTTCTAACCTCTGCTCAGTCTGCAGGTGAAAGCCGGAAGCTGACTGTTTAAGAAATTGGTGCGGGCTCATCCTTTTTCACCAGTTCTTTCTCGTGTATTATATATTGGAAAATTATATTACTGTCGTGTGGACAATGAAAAGCAAATAATTAATTTTGTATGCACAGTCAGCTCCAGACTCTTCTGGACAGATTGCCATGAATATGTCCTGTCTGTGAGCATCAGAACATGGATTCTGCCTTGTAGTCACAGTATGCTATGGGTTGTGTGCCCTAGCTGTGTGTTTCTAAGGCTTCTCCATGATCTAAAATAGTGCACTGTTACATAAATTCATCGAATCTTAGGATTTGATGAATTTTAAATTCATCCAGTTCAAGCACCCATCTGAGGCTTGAATCTCTCAAGTACTTACTTGGCTTTAGCATTAATATTCCTTTTTTAAAAAGATTTTATTTAGTCATTCATTTATTCATTTATTTATTCGTTTGTTTATTTATTAAAGGGACATGGGAAGGAAGGGAGAAAGAGAGGGAAAGAAATAACAATGCAAGAGAGAAACATTGATTGGTTGCCTTCTGCATGTGCCCCATCTGCTGACAGAACCCACAGCCAGGCATGTGCCCTGGCAGAGAATCAAACTGGCGACCTTTGGCTTGGCGGTACAATGTGGGCATTGTACCAACTGAGCCATTCCAGCCAGGGCAGCATTAATGTGCTTTGAAGCAAAATGGTGGTACTGTTTAATTCTGCTGGAGCATATACACTTGACAACAGAAAAACTAATAAGCCAGGAGAAAACAATCATTTCTTCATCTGTAAAAGATGTATAAGATGGAGAACTGAATGAAATAACCTATATAATCTTGCTTAGCGAGTGCTAGAAACATAATATATAGTAAAGATAGTTATATTTAAATTCATTTATATAGCACTTACGACTCCATATATTTCAAGCTTCTGATGCTGGTTGATGTCACCTAGATTTTGGGGTGCCTGGTTGTCTGTGATAATGTTAAGGAACAGGGAAATATTTATGTAAATATGTCATGGTACAACCATAACCCTAACACCACAAGAATCTAATATATGAGAGAAACATCTTTATTTCATGTAAAAAAAATTGTGAACTGTATCATATTAGACTAATGACATTTGAGCAACCTTAACTGTAAATTCACCTTCCCACTCACTAATGCTAACATCTCAGTTACAAGCTATAAAAGTCACCACATGTTTTGGAATCTTATGATAGTCTCCATAAGTGCTTGTCTTCACAAAGGCAAGATTGCTCTCGTACTTCATTCATACTCTTTACTGACTCGATGTTGAGAAGTATAAAAAAACTACTAACCTCTTCATCTAAAACACACCACATGTCCATTTCTTAATTTTATATTCACATGGTAAAACCACGCCAAAACTTCCTGCTGGCTCCCTGACTGGTGTGGATGGAGTGCTGTCTTGCAAACCGAAAGGTCACTGGTTCGACTCCCATTCAAGGCACATGCCTGGCTTGAGGGCCAGGTCCCCAGTAGGGGGCATGTGAGAGGCAACTGATCCATGTCTCTCTTGCACATTGATGTTTCTTTCCCTCTCTTTCTCCCTCCCTTCCTCTCTCCGTAAAAATAAAGAAATAAAATCTTTAAAAGAACTTCCCTCTGGTAAAATCACAGTCAACTAGGCATTATAGTCTTTGAGCTATGTTTTTAAATGTTCTTAAAGATTTCTAGTTCTATGGCTATGATTATTTAGCAATCTGCATATGAGTAGCTTTATTGAAGGTAAATTAATTTGAATTATGAATGTGTGACCTAAAACTTCTTAAAGTAATTAGCAGCTCTCGTTTACCTGAAAGATGCAGTTATCAGGAGCATGTAGTTTAGTATCTGCACATCTCTAATATCGATGTTATTTAAAGCCATACATTAAGAGTCATAAGCATCTGTAGTGACAGAAGAAGCATACAGCAAAGCACTGGAAAACTGGAATAGAATTAATTGGTTTTGGTCTACCCACTTCACATTAGAAAATAGCAACAGAAAAAAAATAAAAGACTAAATGTATTCGTTAGGCAGGATCAGCAATCATGCTGCCCACACATGATCTGCAATTAATTTGTAAACAAGAAGATTCATCACCTGGAGGATAATAAACTCTAGTTTTATGGCCCAAAAGACTAGACAAGTAAAAAACCACTAATGAATGCACTGTGTAAACACAGGGGCAAGCATGTACATTGGTTGAGTAAGTGAGGATAACAAGGAGACTCTGTTTTGTTATTAAAGTAGACCAAAAGATACATGATGCATATCTGGAGATTTTCCGGTGTTAACACTTCTCAAAACAGGGTCACTTAAAAGACATGGAAAAGTGTTTCTATCAGTAAGAAGGGCAAAAGTTGATTTTTAGAAAGAGCATTTGAAAAACAAGCAAGGATCAGTATGAAAAAAAAAAACCTGACATAGTTACCTTAATTTTAATTATATTCTCATAGTTACTTACTAGAAAATCCTACAATAGTAATCAGACGTGATTTTAGTTTACCATCTTCAGATATGACTTGGAGTATGAAGAGATGTCCCCAAAAATTATTTATTGAGAATATAAGTACTAGTGGAATTATCAGTATTGTCTTACTTTGGGAAAGGTTTTGATGTGAAAACTAATTTCCTTCCTGTAAGTTACAGTTGTATAACACACCAATTCTGAACCCAAAATAAAGCACTCAACTTTACATCTGTTCAGGTGAGAATTACTTCTTTAGTATCAGCTAAAAATTGTGAGAAACACAGATGTAAAGAATCAATTCAGGGTGTTTGTCTGAAATACAGAATCCTGGTCTCCACCTCATACCAATTGAAACACAATCTCTGAAACTGGGGGCCCTGGAATCTGTATACATTTGTTACAAAATCTCCACCTGATTCTGATGGATACTGAAGTTAAAGGATGAATTTATTGGTTAATATACATGTTTTTTTCTTTTTTGTTGGGTGTTTTGTTTGTTCAAGTCTAAGATTTGGAAATGCTGACCCTCTGTTAACAAGAGCCAATGGGAAATACAGGGTCCCTTCCCTCCCCGGGCCTCCTTGGCTGGAACTACCACCATCACCTCCTTGGCTGGGAGAGCCCTCCGTGGATGTGGACCCAGGATGCCAGGGCAGCCTCCTTCTGTGGTTGCTGGGCCTGTGAACACTGCAGTATCACTTGGCTTTCCACATCTCTAAAATGTTTTTCAACTATTTTGCGTACATGGCTCAGTGCACTCCCCTCTTTGCTTTTACAGTTTTCCACTTGATATGGGGGTGTAATAACAACTTCTTCCATGGCTACGATGGTTTTTTTCTTGCCATTTACAGTCTTTAATGGTCTTGTGAATGGTTTGGAAGAGCTGCTGGCCCTCTGAGGAGACAGACACCAGCACTGATTGCATAAGCCTGGCTCAGTTTCTGCTCCTTTCTCTGTCCGTGCTTTGCTGGCAAACTTACTAACCTTGAGTGAAGCTAGGGGAGGAGGGGTTTCTGTTAGTCATTAATTATTTCCACTTCTGAAACATTCTGTAAGTTTATGGGCAAGATGTCTGCGTGGTTGGGCTTTCCACTGGAAGAGGGACATTTTAAAGCCAGCATTTTGGGCTGGTACTCCAAGGCTACCACCTGGCCCTGCAGCCGCTGCTCCTGGCCCGTCCGACAGGACACCGGGCTCCCAGCGCTGAAGTGCTCGCCCGCAGGAGCCATCGTCTTGGGAGAGCAGCCGTGGCTGGCCTAATACACATGTTTTCACAGATTTTTATAAATTGTTCCTTTCTGTAGATAAAATTATTTTAATAAACATATGAAAATACATTTTTAAAGTGTAAGAAGTAGACCTGAAATTACTCACATGAAGTAAGTTCTCAGACCTGGAGTCACCTTACTGGGGTGAATGGTGTTATTAATGCCGCAATGAAAATAAAGGAAGTCAAAGGGAAGTCTTTTTTTTTTTTCAAAGGGAAGTCTTAATGCAGTAAATAGCACTAAAATTTTCGAATGCCCTGCACCTCAATGATTAATTATAAATATAATCAACATATTCAAAAATATCACTTATTAAGCAACTTCAGCTTTCAAAACATCTCTACTCAAACAGATCATAGAGGACTCAAAACAAATACCATAAACCATACTACAAATACCATGTAGTTCATCAATAAGAATTATATTTGACCCAATTTTAATAACTTCATTTCTCTGGGCGATTTGATCAGAATGCATTAGAAGTAACAATATTTCATTTTTAAAAAGATTTATTTATATATTTTTAGAGAGAGGGGAAGGGAGGGAGAAAGAAAGGGAGAGGAAACTTCAGTGTGTGGTTGCCTCTCATGTGGCCCCGACTGGAGACCTGGCCTGCAACCTAGGCATGTACCCTAATTGGGAATCGAACTGGTGACCCTTTGTTTCATAGTCTGGTGCTAAATCCACTAAGCTACACCAGCCAGGGCATAGCGGTAGCAATATTATTTCAAAACAAAGAATGGGCAGTGCTTGCTTCAGCAGTACATATACTAAAATTGGAACAATACAGAGAAGATTAGTGCGGCCCCTGAGCAAGGATGACACACAAGTTTGTGAAGCGCTCCATATTCTTATACTTCTCCAAGGAGGACATACAGAGGGCCCAGAGACATATGAAAGGATGCTCAGCATCACTAGCCATCAGAGAGATGCAAATTAAAACCACAATAAGATACCACTTTACACCAATCTGAATGGCCATCATAAACAAAGCAACAAACAACAAGTGCCGGCAAGGTTGTGGAGAAAAGGGAACCCTAGAATATTGTTGGTGGGAATGCAAACTGGTGCAGCCACTGTGGATAATGGTATGAAATTTCCTCAAAAAACTAAAAATGGAACTGCCTTTTGACCTGGCAATTCCATTACTGGCACTATACCCTAAGAATCCTGAAACACTAATTCTAAAGAACCTATGCGCCCCAATGTTCACAGCAGCACAATTTACAACAGCCAAGTGCTGGAGGCAACCTAAGTGCCTATCAGTAAATGAGTAGATCAAAAAACTATCATTTACCCAGTGGAATACTACACAGCAGAAAGAAATAAGGAGCTCCTACCCTTTGCCACAGCATGGATGGAACCAGAGAGTATTATGCTAAGTGAAATAAGCCAGGTGGTAAAAGAAAAATACCATATGAGCTCACCTGTAAGTGAAACCTACTCAACAAAACAAGTGAGCAAAATAGAACCAGAGACATGGAAGTAAAGAACAAACTGACAGTGACCAGAGGGTGTGGGAAAGGATAACAAGGGAAAGAAGGGGAAGGGTCAAATAAGGGAATTTGGTATAAAGGACCCGTGAACAACGCAGGTGTGGGGGGAAGGATTGAATGTGACTGGTAGGGGGTGGGTAGGACAGGGAAGAGTAATGGGGACTATTGTAATTGAACAGTAAAAAATATACAAAGGTTGGGCAAAGATGACATTTGTTCCTAGAAGTTAATTTTTTAAATATTTGGAAAGAAAAAAAGAAAAATGTTTATTAAAAAAACAAGCCCCAACATACTAGACTAGACTAAAATACTGTACAACATGAACTTAAAAAGCATAGTTATGTGGGGCTGTTTAATGTAGGATCAAGCACTAGAATGATCTTGTGTAGTGCTGTAACTGATGTTATAATGACTACTAAATCATCAGGCAGCATGTTTATTATGCTCTAGATTAAGAGAGAGAAATGTATAGCTCAATTTAGAAAGATTGTGTGCTGGATGGTGTGGCTTGGTGGATTGAACACGGGCCTGGAAACCGAAAGGTCGCCAGTTTGATTCCCAGTCAGGGCACATGCCTCGGTTATGGACCAGGTCCTCAGGTGGGGCATGTGGAAGGCAACTGATCGATGTTTCTCTCTCTTTCTCCCTCTCTCTAAACAATAAATAAAATATTTTTAAAAGAAAAATTTTAATCCAAATTGTCTAAAATTAACAATGTTTTTTAGATTTTATTTGTTCATTTTTAGAGAGAGGAGAAGACAAGGAGAGACGTATCAATGTGTGGTTGCCTCTCATGTACCTCGTACTGCGGATCTGGCCCGCAACCTAGGCATGTGCCCTGACTGGGAATCAAACTGACGACCCTTTGGTTTGCAGCCCATGATTTTTTTTTTAAGATTTTATTTATTTATTTTTAACTAGCCGGGAAGGGAAGGAGAAAAAGAGGAAAAGAAACATCAATGTGTGGTCGCCTCTCACGCACCCCCTACTGGGGACCTGGGCCACTATCCAGGCTTGTGCCTTGACTGGGAATCCAACTGGCGAGCTTTTGGTTCATCTGCCAGAACTCAATCCACGAAGCTTCAACAGCCAAAGCTAAAATTAACAATTTTTTTAATCATAAAGAGGTAAATTTTACCTATTATTAAAACTCATCAGCAGGATTTACCTTAAAGGATGACAAGGTTATTTCCAAATTAACTTAAAAAAATAGATTGTGTTACTTAGACATAGGCGCCATCTAGTGGCAAAAGGCAATAGTTTCAGGGTAATTGTTTAGATTTTGGATTAAGACAATATGGAAGTGGCTACATCCAGAGATTTTGTTCAAGGTTTAAAATAACTGTCAATTTTAAATTGCATGGATTAAATGGAAAATTATTTATTTAACTTCAAAAGCCTTCTAAATATCACAAAATGAGGAAGAAATTGAAGGTGATGAAGGCAGGTCAACATACACAAAAATAAAGGGGATATAAAATGAAAAATAAACACAAATAGAGTTAAAGGAAAAACTTTATTGAATATTGATTATGGATAAGCATGTAGGTAAGCCTAACACTGAATTGAAAAAATAAATATAATGATTAATTATAAGAATCTTGAAAGCAAGATGGAACTGGAAGATAATATGGAAGATGAAACAGGAGTGTATTGGAATTCAAGCATCTTTTTTTTTATTCTTGTATTATTTTTTATTTATTAATGTATTATTTTTCATACAAACAACCAACTTTTGCCCTAACCTACCTTAAAGAGCTTGATATACTTTTTTTTAATTTTTTAAAAAATTTTATTTAGTTACTTTTCAAGTACATTTTTTTTTTTTTATCTATTTCTCCCATCCCACCCCCCCCCGCCCGGTCTCCCCCCTCCCTCCCATTTCCCCCCCCCCCCCCAGTCCTCATCTCTGTGTCTTTCATACCTGTTCCTCAAAATCCCTCCCCCTTTTTCCCCTTAAGTTCCCTTCCTTCTCCCCTCTGGTCGCATCTTAAGATCCTTGATTTAAAGAAATAAGAGAGATATTGGCTAAATATATATTGATAAGTTAAATAGTCATGTTAATGTATAAAGTTAGCAACTAAGAATGGCTAAATGTATAATGCACAGGCAAAACCAATGGATTTCTAGATTATAGACAATAATTATAACAATAAGTGCATTACAAATATTAAGACATTTAATCCTCACAACAATTCCATTGAATAAGAAGCATAATTATCTGCACCCTGACTCCAAAATTTATACTCTTTAACCACTATGCCAGTGTTTTTTATGTATGTCTTATTTGGTTACCATTGCATATATGTCAATATGTTTACACATTTGACAATAAAGAAGAGTAAATGTGGCATGAAAAGGTAACAAAATGTTGGCTATCAGTGTACAGAACTGAAGTCTTCATAGTTTAAGAAACAAGGACTGTAATATACTTGTTCTTGGCAATATGTAAAGGGTGGGAAGAGAGAGAAGCATCCCTATAACTAAAGTACCAGAAGCTAGAAATAAATACATTTGATGATATGTGATAATTTATTATAGGAGAAGGATGACATTTCAAATTAACATGAGAATAAAATAATAAATGGAAGAACAATTAGGTAGTAATCTTGGAAAATGTGAATCTGGAGGTCTACATTACTCCTATGTGAAAGTGAAATCCAGATAGATCAAGTTTTACATGTGAAAGTCTTTGAAGAAGGAAGATATGATTAACAATTTTTATGCTGTAAAGTTCTTTCTTGAGTATGTACAACCTAGAAACAAAAGCCACGTCATCAGACTTTTTTGAAACCTTCATGCAGTGAAAAACGGCATTAACAGATCTGCAGAGGGCTCTGCGTTTTTCCCATCCACCACCTCAGCAGAGCAGTTCTCCGTTTATCTGCTTTGTATATCTGCTGCACGTAAGATACCATTTGACGCAATGTTCTAACACAGGAGTGGGAAAAAGAAGAGGAAGAGGTTGGAAACCACTCTGCAGTTGTGCCCCCAGAACAGTTAAGTGATACAAAGTTAGCAGCATACTGTGGTCCAGACCTGTGCTGTCTTCTTTCCTTTTTGTTAACATTAAATGAAGCACCATACTAGCAATTGAAATAAAAATCTTCTTTTGAAGTAATGAAATAAATAGCCTATTGACTTCTTCAAATAATTGTGCAGTATTTAGTAGTTTTGACTGGTTTTACATTTTTTGCATGTGTCCCATTATTGATTATTTAATTACTTATTATAGCACTATAGTCTAGAAATAGGAAGGCTACAAAAATTGAGTAGCCTATTCCAAGAATATACAATGTATCTGTTGCTTTGAGAGTTATTTTTCCATTTCTCCAAACAATGAAAAATTCATTAGAAACCATTTATAACGTAATAAAATTTGGCATTATGCCAAATTTTGAGGAGCTATCCCCTTGGAGGCAATTCTGTACCACAGATACTGTGGTTAGCATTTCAACTCTATCAAGCCTTTTTGCATCCCTGTCTGATAAAGTTACATATGTATTGTACATCTATAAAAGATTTGATGTGTTACATGTGAATATTATTTTTAAATGTTTTTGGTCAGAACGATTAGATTGCTCTGTTAAACATTAGTGGCCCAATTATGTTTTAAAATGTAAAATAAAAGTTATCTCTCAGTAAAGAAAATAATCTGCCCTTTTTTATTGAATAATTCTTAATCAAGTTATTTGTTGTCTCAGAATTACCACTTTCAAATCTTTCACTCAGTTGAGATTTCTTTAAATGGCTGAGATTTCTTTAAAATGTCACCATCTATCTGTAAAGAACTCTTGTCATTTTGTCAATGAATATTAAATCCTCTCCATGAATGAAGTCATTTTCACCCAAATCATTAGGAAATTCTTCTATTACACTACCACTGTAAAGCATTAAGGTTACTGCTTAATTTAGTAAATGCACAATAATTATAGAAAATCAAAAATGCTAAGAAAACTAAAGATTAAAAGAGTTTATAGTGCACTAATCTATAAATCAAGTAAGTTCATTATAAAATAGTTATACTCTAATAATGGGATTCTTTATAGACCCAATTAATACCATCTGACAAAGATGATCTTGTGTAAGCTACCACATAAGAGGCCAAGAAAGCTTTTGAAGTTTAAATAGAGAACATTTTCTGATCCTTAGCACGTTCTGATTTAATTTTCATATTTGTAAGTGGATCAAGTTTATTTTATAAAAGATTTGGGGCCTTATGTAAGTCCAAACCAATGAGTCACTAATGTTTTTACACTTAAAGTAGGAGATAATTGTCAGTTTGATGATATTGAAAGTTTCTTAACTACAATAAATAGCTAGCTTATTGTTAACTCTTTGCTTGAGATAGTTGAAC